GAAACTTAGAATTTCACAAGAAATGTCACAAATTAAAGATAAAAAAAATGTGTTGTCACATGTGCATCTGTATAAATAGATGGTATATGTGTAGATGTGCATATAAATTAGGTAAATAACATTATTAAAGATCTTTTTTTCTAAATGCTTTTATTTTTAAAGGGCATTTTAGAGAGCAAAGTAATGTGATTTTAAATACTCGTATTCCCTTTATAAATGCAGGGAGGATGGGAAGGTAGAACACCTTTACGGGCCCATTATGCTCCACGTATTGGCAGTATTGCACACAAACAGCAAAGTATCCACACATACCATTTATACCAGTACTGAGGGTGCGAGTACTCGCTGCAGTGTTATCCTGAGCGATAGCGACACCCATACTAAACCTTTACGTCAGGTGTATGGGTAGAAGAAGTGAAAACTGGAAGCAAAGGTAAAGTTTTTCCAGAAAGCCTCAGACTGCATAATATCTGTAACTCTCCTGTACTGATAGATCACTGAATTGGAGGTCAAAACTGACATCGTGCACTCGTGTCTTCAACTTGGGGAATATTGCAAAAGCTGACGAGTGCTTGACCAGCTGAAACCAAAATGACACTAAAGTGCAGCTTATGCCAGAGGACTTGATGGCGCTTTTTGTCTTCGGTACCATTCGCAAGAGGCTGGGTGGACGACCATAATGAGCCCATTAGAGGGAGGGGGAATCATGTGCAGCCAGACCGGCTACCTAACCACTGAAAAGAGAAGCTCAAATTGCAACACACGGAGGAAGTGTGACTTCCTTTTCTGATAGAAACACCATTACTCCACTTGATCTTTACACCACAAATAATTGCTTGCTCCTGTAATCTCATGTATAAAACCCTTAATAAGCAAACTGCAGCTGCAGCCTCAGTAATGAAATTGCTGTTGGGTTATCTTGCAGAAACATGCCACGAAACAACTCTTTTCAAGGTTGAATTAATGAATATCTTTCTCTGCAGAATGTAAACACACTTTAACCTTTTTTCTTTTTTTTTAAACTTGTGTTAAGCTTCATTTTCACAATGCTGAATGCTGTACTAGTTGCTATTCATTGAGAGGCTGGGTTTCTGTAGGGCCAATGAGCCATTAGCTCCCAGAGAGCGCAGCTTGAGTAGGTGAGGGGAGGGACTGTTCAACCAGAGTCCACTTTTTGTTATTTGAAAGATGACGCAAGATGTTAAGCCCCTATAGTCCCTGGCTGACCTTTGACCTACCCCTCACCCTAGCCAGCCACCCCTGTGGTGACAGAGCCTAATCCCCTCCCACTTTCTCAGCCACCTCAGGGTGATTCCTATTCAGGAGGTGCACGGCGTATTCACTGCCATGCCAAATCTGCTCAAGGCTGAGGCTTTCACAATGGCAGGTATCTGGCTGACAGGAGACCTGATATGATCTGTGAACAAACATCTGACAAGGCCCAGTGACATACCCGCGCCCCGGTGCAACCTCTGACCCCCTCTGTCCTCCTGTGCAACTACAAACAGACCTGCAGAAATACACACCACGCACCATTAGGACACGAAAACAAACAGAAATGTTTGTGTACAATTGCTAATGCATTCAAGCTCCTATCAGCACAGAAATATGTCCAAGAGAAGTCCTTTTGGCCCGAGTTGTTTTGGAAGCTAAGGGATCAGATTTACTTTGCCATGCTTGTGTGAATCTCAGCAGAGGACTGTGAACATGCACTCCTAATCAAGTTGACTTGTTTTTGTCAGGATTGACATATAAAGCTACTCCCTCAGACTACTTAGAGGCAGAGAAAAATGAGAAAGGCAAAACGAACATTTGGAATAAAGACTTAAGAACCACTGTTGATGAGGTCACTTGTGCCAATAAGAAACCTTTGATTAATATCCCTCAGTGGAAATCTGAAATCTCCTGTTACTGATCAGGTGCTGCTGGAACTGCTACTGAGTTCATTGTCCATAGTTATTGTGTTTTGGTACCAATAGCATTTGACCAGCATATTTTTCTGCTCTCTTAATCAGCAATGTCACACTTTTCCGTGGTTTTTGAACACACGGACAAACTGGAAAGTTTTCCCAGTTTTACAACATTTTTTGAAACACAGTACCTTTAGAAATTGTACCTGCACCTAACTACATGTGTGTAGTCTTTTGGAGGGTTTGAGTATAGCTCTTAAAGGCGACCTTCCTTGGTTGCTGTTACAGTCAGTTCTGTAAAATTCAAAGAATAAGGTCAGAATATGCAGTTTCTTTTTGAAGGTTCAGGCGTTCACGCTTCTCTGAATGCTCCTTTTCACACCATTTTTCTACTTTTGGATCTGTGTGATGTCAGTGAGAGTGGATATCCTGAATATGACCATCTCACAGGTACAGAGAACTGGCTGCATGAACGCCACACCCACCTGAGATTTAGGCCTTCTGTTTGTGAGACGGTAGCTATTCAGAGTAAAGCTGGCTTAAGGGAAGCTGAACAGTTTGTTCCACACAGTGAATGGATTTAGGAGTCTTCATCAAGTCTGACTTGAGATAAACAAGGAATATTTTGAAATGTAACTTTTCTAGTTACATGAAGCTGGAAATGAGCATAACAAGTCCCCTGCAGCAAAACATGAAGGTTCAGTATTTAAATGCCCCAGTTCCTCGTGGTTGGTTTGGTTTCTCTACGGAGACAAAACATAGAAGTGACTGCAGTGTGTTTTTATATGCAGGACAATGAGAGTGTCAGGTTTTTGTGTCACAACACTAAAGTCAGACATGCAGTAAAACAGTGAATTGCTTCTCTCTGTATGCAGGTTTGGAGAGAAGGGGGAAGCCATCCGGATTGAGAAGGTGGTTTACACAGGCAAAGAGGGAAAGAGTTCCCACGGATGTCCTATTGCTAAGTGGGTAAGTAGCATCACAGCACATCCAAAATGCGGTTTTGAAAAATGCTGGATAACTTCCAACATAGATGCCTACAACAGACAGTAAGCAATAGTGTTGAGAGACATGTCCCTACACTGTATATAAAGGAGGGACATATCATAGCTTTTGGGTCTGAAAAGTGAAACCAGTGCTAAGTGCCTTTCTAACAGCCAGGGGAGTAGTATCTTGAGCTGAAGTCTATAAGAAGTTTACTGCTTGTTTGATTCATGCATCAGTAAAAATGATGTTAATTTTATAAATGAATGTTCCACTAAAGAGCCTGTTATGCCCTCCGACTGGTATGTGGTGAACAGCACCGGTCAAAAAGAGTTAACGCCCTAGCTGCTGTTGTGCACCTCTTGACTCTTGTTACATGGTGCTACAGCTGCAATCAGGTTGAAGACACGCATGTACAATCGTGTCATTTTTACCTAGGTTTTAATGATGAATACAGAAGCTCAGCGGTACATAGATTATACCGTGGGATATGCTGCAGCAGTTTGAAAAGATGAGGCATTGCTTCCAGTTTTGCCTTCGTCTTCTCCTGTATCAGCGCTGATGTGGAGCGACGCCTGTTGTTCAGGAGAATACTGCAGCAGGCACCTGTGACGCTTTCCGATGGTATCTCCAGCAGTGCACAAAGCGACCAATGAGCTTTGACCAACCAAGGCCCTAAGAGTAAAGAGAGGCTGACCGGGTGCTAACATTTGTGTCAGTTCAAGTGAAAGATAAAAAAGTGAGAGTGAGAGTTTTTTTTCAGTGTTTATCCCACCTGACAACACTGACAGCCTGTCAACAAGCAATTTATGTAGCGTGTGAGTGTGTGTGCATGTTTGTATAGTGAGGGGCCCTGGGGAGACACACAGGCGAGTTGCCACCCCCAGTGAGCAAATCAGTAGGAGGTCTCACTCTGTGACAACTGCCTGGCCTCCTCTCCTGTGTCACCCCTGACACATCCTGCTAATGACTTTATGGATTCAAAACAACCACCCTGCTGAGGGAGGGTGACTGTTTGGGTGTGTTTTAAGACAGAAAGACTAGGAAGCTAGGGGAGCTGACTTAAAGAACTGGTATTCAGTCACAGAAGTGGGTCAGACTTTAGTTCAAGGAGTAAATATCCTTCTTAAATAAAATGTAACCCTCAACTATGTCTGGTTTGTCACTATATCAAAATGTATGGGTGTGCTGGACATCTGCTGGCCAAATGCAGGAACTACAAGGAGCTCTTGGAACATGAAATTGTATTTGACTTTATTGGATTTTTGTGTGCGAGTAAAAGCTCACAAGCTTTGTTTCCTGTCAGGTGATCCGTAGAGGCAGCGAGAAAGAGAAGCTGCTGTGTCTGGTGAGGCAACGTGCAGGCCATCGCTGTGACAATGCTGTCATCATCGTCGTCATTATAGCCTGGGAAGGTGTACCGAGGGCCCTGGCTGACCAACTGTACAGAGAGGTCACAGACACGCTCACCAAACATGGCAACCCCACCAGCCGACGCTGTGGCCTCAATGAAGAGTGAGTAGGGGATGGCTAGTTTTTCATGTGAATATGTACAGAAACAGTCTGGATGTCTGTCAGCAAATGGATGGACTTTTGAATATATTGATTTTTGAAGCAGATGGTGTTTAAACTCTGGGTATCTTTTTCACACATGCCACACATGGTTGTCCTGAACATTTATAAACATCCTTAGACAGAAGTGCGTGTGACAACAGTAATGTCTGCCTTAAACCTCCCAACTCTCTAGTACAAAGGCAGAGTGGCGTTTCACCCATGTGTGAAAGCACAGGTTATTGTTCATTACATTCACTGCTAGTCAGTCATGTGTCCAGCCTCTTTGCATGTTCAGAATGCTTCCTCACTTTAACAACACTATTGTTGTATTTATATTTCCAGTAGTGGGAATAAGTCAGAAGCAGTGGAGAAGTGTGGAAAATATCCTGACCGGATCAAATTTGTCCAAAGTTCATATTCATGACATAAAAGTGAATTTTAAGACAAAAATGAAATGTGTACATTTTGTTCTGTGTTACACTGTTCACCTAGTACCCAGCCCTTCAGCTAACCATGAGTACATGTTAACACACCCCCGTGTCTGGTGGCTTAGATATGTGAACCACTCACCATCTGGGATGGAGAAATATCTTCTGTGTAGGCACTGAAGCTGCCTTTATGTTTCCCCCCAATATGTGTGTAACATACAGTAACTTTGACATATAAAGCAATTTTAATAAAACCGGACATTATTAAAATGTGTGGCTTAAGTCTAAGATGATCTGCTGTAACACCATTCAACATTGATTGCTTCAAATGAAACCGTCTCGCTAACACTCTCAATTACAGTGGCGCACACGAGGTAGTAAAACATGCCAAACTGCACGTCTTCTATGAATGAAGCTCAGTGTGCTCTCTGTCTCCCCCTACAGCCGTACTTGTGCCTGTCAAGGCAAGGATCCTGAAACTTGTGGTGCTTCCTTCTCTTTTGGTTGCTCATGGAGTATGTACTTTAACGGCTGCAAGTACGCACGAAGCAAAATGCCGCGAAAGTTCAGGTTACAGGGAGAACACCCTGAAGAGGTACTCATCACGCGAAAGCTGCCTTTTTACGAGCATTGTATGAGTACATATGTATGCAAATGAGAAGATTAATATTATTTTTTTTATTTCAAAATTCTTTTCTCTTCTTGTTCTTTTCAGAATAGTATCTGTAAATTTTAAGATACCACTTTATAGTTTTGTCTGACCTGTGATTCATGTTTTCATCATCAGGAGGGAAAACTCAGGGATAACTTCCAGCATCTGGCAACTGAGGTGGCTCCTGTGTACAAGCAACTAGCACCACAAGCCTACAGTAACCAGGTGTGTTGCACAGGCACATGTCTATTAGCAAACCAACATAGGAAAGAAGATCTCAGCAGGAGATGTTTCTAAAGACGCAAAACCAACTCGCACACATTATTACCTTATGATTTAGTACACCTGTGAGGACTTGGCTTTGAGAAAGGAAGCAATCTTAAGTGTTGTGTTTCTGTGTATTTTAAGAATGCAGAAATTAGTCACTTCCTATAGCTGGTTTAATGCTATCTCTGTCCTTTACTTCAGTGCCAGACAGAGTCCAAAGCTCCTGAATGCAGGCTGGGCTTGAAGGAAGGCCGTCCATTCTCTGGAATCACTGCTTGCATGGACTTTTGTGCTCACGCTCATAAGGACCAGCACAACCTGTACAATGGATGCACAGTGGTAAGATCATTAAACCTTTCTCTTTTTTGCACTGAATGATGGCTACATTGCTAATGAGCTGAAAATGCTACATAAAAAGTGCGGCTGTTTTATCACACACTCTGTGCCACGCTCTGCCAGGTGTGTACTTTGACAAAGGAGGACAACCGAACAGTGGGAGAAATCCCAGAGGACGAGCAGCTCCACGTGTTGCCTCTTTACACGTTATCCCCGACAGATGAGTTTGGCAGCGAGGAGGCCCAGAACCGCAAGATGGACACAGGAGCTATCCAGGTGCTTAACGCTTTCCGCCGTGAGGTGCGCAAGTTGCCCGAACCTGCCAAATCATGCCGACAGCGCCGACTAGAGGCAAAGAAGGCTGCCTCAGAGAAGAAGAAAAATAAACTCATCCAGCAAGCAGGAGAGACGCCGGAGAAGACGGGGATCAAAGCCGAGGTCTGCATTAGCAGTTCCCCTCAACCCCAAGGCAATAAAGGTTAGTTACTGTTGTGTTTTGTGTCCTTTGTGTTTACCTGTTATCACCGGATTGTAAAAGCTGAAATACTTTAAGATTTTGACTTGTTTGTAACCCGTTTTCCTTACTTTTCTTTTGTGTCAAACAAACAGCAATGATAAAACAAGAGGTGAAGCCCAACATCAAAAAGGAACCCTTAAACGGATCGATGGATGGATATTCTGTGCAAGCAGTAGACCCAGTAAATCCCATGTATACAAACCCCATCTTCTATGCAAGGGGAGGCCTCCCCACAACTGGCCAGCCCTCTGCACCTGATACAGTAAATGGTTTCCACACCAGTTTGCCCCCAATGGATTATGCCTACTACAGGTGCTCACCCAATACACTTTTCCCCCCTGTACTGAGGACCTACGAGGGTCGAAATGGCTCTTCGCCCAGAGCTGGCTGTAAAGCTGTCCAGGTAGATCAGAAGCCTGACATTCAAAACTTTCAGTCCAGGGTGGCCCTTTCCTGCTCCAGCCAAGCAGAGCAAACCAACCAACCAAATCACACGACTTACACCCAGGCCCCAGTTTATAGCCAATCCCGTCCTTCCTCTGCCTCCTCTGAGTCCTCCAACAGAGGCACGCCGGTCATCAAACAGGAGCCTATGGATGTGCCGGTCTATGAAGGCACGCTTCCGAACCAGGTCGGAGCCAACACATCAAGAAGCCCCCCGCAACCTGTGACCTGGCCTGGGCACAAGCTTAATGGAAGTTTTATTCCCACCACTTGGGATGCCCATCAGAAGCATAAACAAAGTTCCGAGGCCTCATCGGAGAAACAGCAGCAGTTTCACCAGCATCTCCAGCAGCGGCAGACCTCTCCTTACCCGCAGCAGTGGTCACCCTTCCTTGGCTTAAACACTATGAGGGCTTCCCCTGCCCCATCACCGTCACTCCAGGTACCTCCCTCTCTATCTCCATCCCCTCAGCTAGGCACAGTGGTCCAAGGTAACATACATCAATCTTCCCCACGCCCTGGCACCCCACGCCCAAGCACCCCTCACCCAGTAACCCCACAGCCCGGTGTCTCTCACGCAGGCCCACTTACACCACGGCCAAGTACCCCACATCCAGGCACCCCCAGGCACTGGGCGAGCCCCGTTGCTAGCCCACAGCCGCAAACATGGGGCATGGGGCCTTATAGCCCTGGTATGAAGCACAGCAATCCTGCAGGGGCCTATCCCGACAAGATCTGGTCCAAGACTGGAGAAAGTCGGTGTTCCACTCCGGTTGGGCCCCAGGAAAAGGCCTGGAAGTCTTTTGGAGGTTCTGTGGCAAGTAACACCCCTTCCCCTGCTCCAGAGGGTCGCCTCTTCCCCGATGCCCTGCAGCAATCAGATCAGGCCTGCTACACGCCCAGCCGAGCAGAGAGCGACGCCGAGAGCACCAAGAATTGCGAAGAGGACGAGGATGAGATCTGGTCTGATAGTGAGCACAACTTCCTGGACCCTTACATAGGCGGGGTAGCAGTGGCACCAGCCCACGGCTCCATCCTAATCGAATGTGCTCGTCGGGAACTACATGCTACCACTCCACTCAAAAAGCCTGACCGCTCCCACCCCTCCCGCATCTCCCTGGTCTTCTACCAGCACAAGAACCTCAACCAGCCCATGCATGGCCTGGCTCTTTGGGAGGCCAAAATGAAGCTGCTGGCAGAGCGAGCACTGCAGAGGCAGCAGGAAGCGGCTCTCCTTGGCCTCTCCCAGGAGGATATCAAGGCACTCGGGAAGAAACGCAAATGGGGCGCTACGGCGGCAGGCGCTAGTCCAGGACCTGGACAATCTAAAGACAAGAAGGAGGGGCCGGTGACGCGGTTATGCCCCTCGTTCTACACCACCTCTACGGTTACTGTGTCTCCCTATGCCTCCACCGTCGTCACTGGGCCCTACAGCCACTTTGTGTGAGGACACATAGACACAGAGTGACTGATAGCTACAGAGTGGTGCAGTGGAGGGCTGGAGAGAGAGCACTGAGCAGAATCAATGTCTCTCAGCCGTCCCGCAGTCTGGCATCCCTCCATCCTGCCTCCCTCTACAGTCCACTTGGAGGAGGGGGACATTTTTATTGTTTTTTACCTCATGTCAGGCAGTGGTTTGGGCTTCAGACACACTGCCTGTGGTGCTCTTCCTCTCTTTTCCCCGGAGAGGAACTCCATTGCTTTTTCTTGTTTATAGAATTTTAATGATTCTAATTATTGCTATTATTATCAATATTATTATGATTGTTACTGTCAATGTTGTTATTACAGGTATTATTATGATGAAGACTTTTTTTTTTTTAATTATTGCTCTTTTCATTAATGTTATTATTAATAAGGTGACCTGTTTTGTTTTGGTTTTATATTTTTGTTAAATCAATCAGTCTGAGTTTGACAGACTTGGACACTTGCTTTTTCCATGTTTGGAAAACATGCACCCTTCCCCCCCATTTGACTTTGTTCTTATCAATCTTAAAGCTGTACTTAGATGAGGAGGAGCCATTATCTCCCTGATACGGCAGAAAAATCAACAATATAGTAACCACAATCATTTCTTTTAGTTTATAAAGCCATTTCTGGGCCTTTTTAAAGAGTAATCATAATAATCACCATTATGAAGATCCTGATCAAAAGCTTTGATTTTTAATGAATCAGTACCAGCATCACCACTGTCAAATACGCCACTGAGAGTATGTTTTTTTTCATTATAGCAAACAACCATCTACACAAATATTACAAAAGATAAGAGTAAGGAGGGAAATCACCAAAGCCCTTTTGCTCCAGGCACCTAGAAAAAGCGCAGCGATTGGTTTCAAGTGTCACGCTGAAGGAAGAAAATAGTCCCCGGGCTCAGAATAACTCTTAACCATTACTGCGAGAAACCTTCGCAGCTTGCCTTGTCGTGATGATGAGATGATGCGCTCCTCCTACTCTCCCTTCTAGCTTCTGACTGGTGCTCAGCTTCTTGCTCTGATCGATTTCCATTCCGCTACTCTCCATGGCACTCGATGCTGTATTTAGGTGCTCTAACTCAAATTCAGCTCAAGTAGTATTTGCAACTAAAACGTTTGTGTTTCGGCCCAGGTGGGATACCAGAACACTGGGATTTACTGCTTTTAACACAAAGGTGCAGAACTGCAGGTGCTAGGGAAAAGTCCTAACGAGTTATCTCACAGAAGCTTTCCTGTGCTCTGTGCGGAGAACTGAAGTTCTCATACCCGGTGCTCCACAGAGGCCAAAACAAGCGATACTACTTGTGCAAGCCATTTAACCCAGATCTGCTATTCCCACAGGTGGCACTCTTTTATCTTCCTATAACATTCAAGTAGGAGTGAGCACTTCCCAGTGTAAACTCTAGAGGGCAGCGTCGACTGCTGTTTCAAAGTGGTGTGTACAAACAAACCTATAAGCACTTGGGATTCATTTAGATGGCAGCCTTGTCTCATTGTTGCTTTAACCATCCATGGCCACTAGAGGGGGCTCTCCACCCTGCTCGCTGACCATAGATTGGACTTGATAAAACAGCTGGAGACAAAGCTGACATTACAAATGTGCCACAGATGTGAACCGGAAACCCATCGTGGGTTAGAGCAGCAGGAAACAGTGTTGGGACAGCAGTGCTTTTGGTGCTCACACACACACTCTGGTGCTCTCCTATTACACTTGATTTACTGTGAAGGGCCCACTCCTTTCTCTGCATGGTGCTGTCATCTTTGAGCAGAGCGAGGCGTGTCCTTCCGCAGGCACCTTGTCACCGCAGAGCCAGCCAATCAAAGTGGCCACCGTGTGGTTCAGCTCCACACTGGGCTCAAAAACTGGTTTCCTTTAGAGGAGTTTTTATTTTATTTTATTTTTTGCAGTTTGTTGTGGCATGTAGTGATTTTTGTCTCAAACAAAAAGAAAAGTACACTGTACAGGGCAGAGAAAGCACAGTCATTCACTGCATTTCTTGGTAACCCATTTAGCAGTGCTTTTCACAGAGAAAACAGTACTGAGAGATAAAAGGGAAACCGTAGAAAATTTCTGTAGCTTCCAGGGTTTGGCGCCGAACGTGAGCGCAACAGATCGATGAATCTCTCACTTTGCGTGCGTGCGTGTCTGAAAAGAGCCAAAGAGAGAGACTATTTGATAGCCTGGTGAGAGTCCTGTTTTTATTTTCCTTTGTGGTCACATGGTTCACCTGCAACATGTGTCAGAAATGAAAATGAGAGACTGCTGATGCAAGCCGACTCCCAGCTGCTGGGCGGTCGTTTGGGCCAAGGCCCTGGTCATCTGTGAAAGACCCTGTTACCTCTCCCGATTTTCTCCAGCTCTCTACCTCACGCTGTAGAGACACTGGTCACAATCACGACTTGCTACTGAGGGCAGAGAATCATGCATGTCCCTTTGTGTGCTCTAGATCTCCACACTCATTTTAACCTGCTTTTTTTTTTTTTTTGACTCTTATTTATTACTACATGGTGATAATGATAATGATTGTCTTTGATGTTATTGTTTTTTTTTCATCATTTTTTATATAGCTAATACAAATTGTACATAAAGAAGAAAAGATTTATAAAAGCACTTTTAATCTTGATTTTAATGACACAGAAAGAGCCGATTATTGACAACTTGAAGCTTTTTTTTTTTAATTTCCTCAAGAGAGAGATAAAAAATGTAAATATCAAACTATTTAGGTAAGATTATTTAACTTGTGAGGAAAGTAACAAAACCACGAATGACATGGGGGTATTTTTGAAGTCTCTGACAGCCCTGAACATCAGTAAACAACACTTGGCCCCAATGTGTTGTGTGCAAATCTGTGCTTAGTCACTCTGCTGTTTTTGCTTTCCTAATACTGTACCCCCTGTCGGCATGCGACTGACAGAGCCCCAGAAATTTCTGAAAACGATTTAGTCAGCCCAATTCTGTAACATGAAACCACACTCAGCTGACTCACTGGCAACAGTAAAGTGAAAATAAGAGATCCCCCGTGTTGCAGTTGTGCTAATGTATGAATTTAGAGTTTTAGCTTGATAGCGTTCAGTTGTTATTTTCAATTTTGTTGACATTGTCAAACTCTGTGACAGATTCATGACAGCATCGTATTTTAAAAAACCCCCAAACAAACGCCAAAATCGGAATAATGTGATTCCCACATTCCCACGAGCGTGATAAGAGTTACCTCTTGGCTAGTTTACTAGCTTGACTTAAGCAGCTGATTAGCTTAGCTTAGCTTAGCAGAGTGGCTGAAAACATGGGGAAACAGCTAGCCTAACTAAAATCGAACTGCCGGCACTTTAAACCTCTTTAACACACGTTAAGTAAGGTTTGTCAACACCATTGTCACATTGGTTTTACAGGGGGTTACATCCCAGGCTAACAAGACCACCAGCAGATATTTCATAAAAAAATAAAAAAGAATCACTGCTTCCAGCCTGGAAACCGTCTGGTACAAAGTCCTCTGAAAAGAAAAAAAAATAACAAAAAGGAAACAGGGAAAACAGAGTGAGCTTTAAAGATGCTGGCGGGCAGATTTTGTCACCTATGTTGCTTCCTGTGTGCCCGGTCTTTATGCTGATCTCAGCTGTCTGATAGCTGCGGCTTCATATTTATCGTACAGACGTTAGAACAGTGCAGAGTTTTTCTTCTGAGTGTCAACAGGAGAGAGAATGGGAAGTTTTTCAGTGATGAACTATTATTTACTATCAAACACCCCCCTATAACTATACTGACTGCCACGGAGCCAGTCTGAGGTGAAACATTGGGCGACGCTTTAATGAGTTACTGCCCAGCAGTCTGTCAGTTGTGTTACCACCGCCCTGCTTGCTTAGATGTGTCATCATTATTATTCGCTCCAGCTTTTGTAATAGCCAAGTATGCACGTGGCAGAAAAATCACAGCTCCCCCGCGGAAGACTGCAGATCTTTCATTTGCCATGATAATTAGGTGACCCACGCCATGTCTAACAGTAGTTTGATAGTGCAGTAACAAGACCCATTTTACTTATTGAGCTTAAGACTTGCCCATATATTAGTCACACACACACACACACACAACACAAACAATTACCGAAACAACAAAAGGGTGCTGAGGATATGGTGCATATGATATCTTGGTGACTTTGTACATTTCTAAATGCTTCATAACTTTGGTGGATGGTTCTCATGAGAGGCACCACCTCCCAAGCGGACAAGTACTGAGATCCTGGGGGGTGAGTCGGTTCAGTCGGTGCTATGATGCTATACCTTAAAAATTCACTGTGTTAAAAAAAAAAAATACAAAAAAGGAAAAAAAAGCGAGGGATAAATAATTACCACAAATATTTTTCTGAGCTCTTCGAATGTCAAGAGAACTATACTTTTGATTAAAGCAGTTTCACAGGAAAGGAAGCTGCCCTGGTGCTGACTTTATGAAAAGTCTTTTGTTACAACGCTACAAATTTACATCTCTTTTTGAGGGCAGGTGGTGCACTCAAACTGTTGATTACATTCTCTATTAATCTTCATTCCATACTGTACTTGAATTCATTTAAAATAGGACGAGATATAGAATCATATTATATGAAGACTGTTAGCTGGGTTTTACATTTGGTACTGTGCAAGTACCAGAGGCTATTCAAATGATCTTTTGAGTATGTTGTACATGTTCATGTTAACTGAATGCTAAGATATTTGAACGACACAAAAAAAAAAAAAAATTGCGTACTGCCTCCCTGTTCCTCTCCCAAGTGATGCACTTCCTTTACTCACTCCCTCTCTTTCTTCTAAATTTTGTATAGTTTGTGACACACATAGATAAACACACATATATTTGCATCTAACTGTGTATGGCCCACAGTCCTAATTTAACGAACACTTGAAATTTGGGATAGTGACTTGGACCCTGACCCATAAAATTAAATAAAAGGAAAAGAAAGAAAAAGAAAGTGAACCAACACAACTGGCAGCTACATTCCGTTAAGTTTGAGGATTGTTCTTGGTTCTTTATTTTTCATGTCAAGGATGCAGTATGTAAAAAAAAAAGGAGAAAAAAAAAGTGTTTTTGTTCAGTCTCTCTCTCTCTTTGTAGCTGTATGGTGTATTATGTGAATACATAGTGTATGTGGTTAAAAAAAGAAAAAAAGAATAAAAAACCAACCCACAATATTGTTTTATGTTGCGCGATAAATAATAAAATTGAAGTGAAACACGTGTTCTTCTTAGTGATTTCATTTCTTGGTCAAGTTGTATTTGATTCTGTTTCCAAGTGCAGTGAGGATCACTGAGTCCTGGCCTCTGCTTTGATCAGCCTGCTCAGTGAAGGCTCATCTCATCCACTCCAATCCAATTCAACTTTATTTATATAGCACTTTAAAACAACAAAGTCGACCAGAGTGCTCATGGATCTAAGCACTCCATGCATCATGGATCTAAAAAGGGAAAACTGTAAATATTCAGTGTGTTCTAGTCTTTCAGCCATTGAAAGTGCAGCTGCGGAAAAATGTGAGGGCATCATAGAGTGGACAAGGGTTAAGAGAGAAAGTGGTGACCATTTTCTTTCAATTCAATAAAAACATATTGGCTAGGTTCTCAAAAAATGTCTTTGCGGGAGTGAGAGTAGTCCTTTTGAGGGGTCCAAGGCAGCTTTTTTCAGCTTATATTGGTATGTCTGGTCTCCTTTTGTGCATGAACGCCTCTATAACTTCAGACCAATGAATTGAAAGGTTTACATGTTTTTTCAAGGCTGTCATTTTTTTCTAATGGTGCCCTATGAGAGTCGTACAGCCGGGCAGGGGGGAGGACACGTCTGCAAAACCCTGCAGCAACAGCTGCTCTCTGGGCCTGTGTGAGATGGTTATCACAATGGAGGGAGGTGGGAATTGTGGAATTTGGCACCTCCGGCTCCAACTCATCTTTCTCCTTCACCGGGCTCACAAGAGAAGTGGTTTCAGCCTCCATGCTTTAAGAAGGTTCAGGTGATGTGTCCTGTGTGGCTCCTCCCCTGTCCGACTGTACCACCTCATAGTCAACATCGCACACCGGCTGTGTGACCACGAAGGGCCCTTGCAACTTGGTGAGTCACTTTGGGCTGGAAGGACTTTGTCTCCCGGTGAAAATTGCTTGAGTCTAGCCCTTCTGTTGTGCAGGCACTGTTGATGTTCCTGTGCCTGGAGCAAATTTTCTCATGAAAAGGTACTTTTGGGATGGCCGGTTGGTAAACCAGCTGACAATCCAGGCGGTACGCGCACCATCGGCGCACATCCACTCAGATGCCCGACCAATAAAATCAGGCCATTATTCGCTCCAGAGTTCTATCAATACCCACATGCAATGCCATTGGATTATAATGGCAGGGCAGAGTTCATCAGGCTAATTCCCTCCACCTGGACCTCAGCCTCTCTGACACTGCCCCTCAAGCCCGCTGCACCACCCCTCCTCTGCAGTGGAGCCAATG